TGGCAGATGGGGGCGTGGCCTGGGTGCAATGGAAGGGCCCTGGCAGGGGGCAGCTGGGGGTGTCTCAGTGGGAGGGGGAAGATGTGCAGGAGGGGGGTGCAGCCACCAGTAGTGCCGCCCTGAGCTGGTGGGGGGTTGCCAGGCCCTCACCTCCTCCAGCCCAGCAGGTTGAAGATGTCACTTTCTGCTTACAGGGTCTGTATCTTGTTCCTTCCCTTTAGCTGGTGCTGAGGGTGCTGGCTCCCTTAGCTCTCCACTCCATGCCCATAAGAATGGTGGCCACGCTACTGTGTTGTCTAATCCTGTTTTTTTAGCGTCCAATTTTCAAAACTTGTAAAGCTGGCCTGGGATGGTCATACTTTAATAAATCGTTTGTTTTGGTTTTTTTAATTTGTTTTCGTATCTTGTTCCTTCCCTTTAGCTGGTGCTGAGGGTGCTGGCTCCCTTAGCTCTCCACTCCATGCCCATAAGAATGGTGGCCACGCTACTGTGTTGTCTAATCCTGTTTTTTTAGCGTCCAATTTTCAAAACTTGTAAAGCTGGCCTGGGATGGTCATACTTTAATAAATCGTTTGTTTTGGTTTTTTTAATTTGTTTTCTGTGTTTTGAATAAGTGGGGTCACATTTACACACATTTCTGTGTACCAAAATAAAAGGTTAGAAACATACAAAAACACAAAGTTAAGGGAAAGCTGAGATTCTCATGTAATCACTTGACTTAAGAAACTAGAGCATTATGAAAAATTAGTACAGTAAACTTCCGATAATCTGGCACCTTTAGGACCCAGGGGGTGCTGGATTATCAGATATGCCGGACTATCAGAGGGGGGGGGGGCTATGAGAGATCTGGGGTGAAGTGGGGGGGGATGCACCCATCAGCGCTGCGGGACCAACCCGGCAGCACCCCTGCTGCTCTGCCCCAGACTTCCCCAAGTCAGCCACTGCTGAAACTGACCAGCGGCTGACTCCGGGAAGCCTGGGGCAGAGCACCTCAGCTGCTCAGCTTCAGCAGCGGCTGACTTGGGAAAGCTGGGGGCAGAGCAGCTCCAATTGTCCAGCTGCCCAGAGCACTTCCAGGTTCCAGATGGTGCCGGACCATTGGATGCCGGACCACAGAGGTCTGTCTAGACTGGCAAGTTTTTCTTTTGCGGAAAAGCTTGCCAGCTGTCTACAATGGCCGCTTGAATTTCAGCAAGAACATGGACTTCCTACTTTCTGAAATCAGTGCTTCTTGCAGAAATGCTATGCTGCTCCTGTTCGGGCAAAAGCCCTCTTGCGCAAATGCTTTTGCGCAAGAGGGTCAGTGTAGACAATGCGGTATTGTTTTACACAAAAAAGCCCTGATTGCGAAAATGGCGATCGGGGCTTTCTTGCGCAAAACCTCGTCTAGATTGGCACGGACGCTTTTCCGCAAAAAGTGCTTTTGCGGAAAAGCATCCGTGCCAATCTAGACCCTCCCCCCCAAATGCTTTTAACAGAAAACTTTTCCTTTAAAAGCATTTGCGGAAAATCATGCCAGTCTAGACGTAGCCCTGGAGTTTTACTGTAATTGCAAAACACTCTAAATTTGTGAGAGCTGGTGACAATAGTTCTTCATGCCAGTCTGGGTCCTTGGATACTCTTAGCTACCTGTCAGTAGGCAATGGAAATTGGTACAGGGAGGAAAGACGTGATTCATTCACAGTGAAAAGCATATTGTTCATATTTTCCCTCATATGTTTTTGGTATTTGTGTATGCAGGTTAAATTCCTGACAGTAACCTTTTAATGTTTAGGGGAAGATCAGTTTCTGTGTTCTATGTGTGCATGTAAAAGTATGTGCATGTGTATCGTGTGTATGTTAGAAATTCACTGGCACAAGGCTTCCCCTCGTTCACAATAAACAGAAGCCAATTATAGAAGAAAGTCTAGACTTTTTCTTACTTTAGGAGGTTCAACCCTTCCATATTGCCTCTGCTACTTCATAATCCTTGAATTAACTTTCTCCAGAAAGGTGAGAATAATCATCCATCTCATCTCCCCTTACCAGTCATTCTGGTGTTGCTTCCTACATTTAAACCATGTTGTACTTTTCATGATCTCCAGGTATACAAAATTGGGATTACACTTCCAACATGCAGTCCTTCACCCTAAAATGGATCTTGTGCATGAGCTACCAGTCATTTGATCCTGGCTAACTGTATATACCAAGTAGCATTAGCTTCTATGCCTCCTTGAGAGCACAATGAGGTGTTTTTGTCTTTCTTATTCTCCTTCTCTTTTCTCCTTTATGTGTTTCTTTACTCTTACTTTTAATGTTGTTGGATGTGTTCCCCTGCAGTGTTGTCCTCCTCTGTCTCCTGGAAACTAGAATTCAGTATAGTAGTGTTGTCCTCCTCTGTCTCCTGGAAACTGGAATTCACCTCTGACTTCAAAAACACTCCTAGGCTATGTCTACACTGCTGGTTTTGCTGGCAGTGAGTATGCAAATGAGGCTCAGATTAGCATATTGCCATGCCTCGTTTGCATAATTTATGCAAACCATTTTTGCAGGGGTGGGGGAATAGTGTGGATGTTTTCTTTTTGCTCAAAAAACCCTTTTCCCGCCAGATTGGTAGGAAACCCCCTTTCCTGCTAATCTGAGCCTCATTTGCATACTCACTGCCAGCAAAACCGGTAGTGTAGACATAGCCCTACAGCTTTTGTTCTTAAACCTGTTTTCCTGTTACCATGGTGTTTTCTTTTGTCACATTAAACAGAAAAAAACAGTTAAAATGTATTCTCTTTTCATTTTTATAGCTATTTGTTTATGTAACTTTATTCAGCATCCCATTATTTTTTATTTATAAACAGGGAGATCTACATATAAAAGACTGATCATCAGAACACATGATTTGTTAGGACTAGTTCTTGAAGAACCAGATCTTCTGCACTAGACAAATCCTGAGCAACAGACAAGATACCTGTAAGTTTTAGGAAACTTGCAGATTAGGAAAATAGTTTCAAGATTCAAATAATTCTTGGTGTGGGGGAGGAGAAAAATCCGTGTTCTCACTCTGGTTGAAAAAGTCAGTGGCTGATTTGCCATTAGAGGTTGGACCTCCCTGGTACGGCAACCTCGGAACTTGATGGCTGTGTCTACATTGGCCTCTATTCCGTAATAGGGATGCAAATGTAGCACTTTGGAATAGGCAGATCCGCGGGGGATTTAAGTAGGAATAAGAAATCCTCCGGAAAAGAGCTTATTTTCCGGAGGATCGCGTCCAGACTGGCGCTTTTCTCCGGCTTATCTACAAGCCGGAAA